ATTTTTTAGTTGGCTCAAGACCAGGTCATAAACTCTCAAAGTTGATATAAACTTTTTTAATCATATGGATTTCTGAATTTCTTCAAGAGATCCGGAATGTCGTATCCGAGCATATCGTCCACTGCTTGAATCATCTTCGGCTTCAGTTTCTCGAACTTGTCAATGTTGTAGCCTCCCAATACTTCTTTGAAATGTTCCACACTTGGGAAATCTCCAGCCGGAAGATGATGCTCTTGTTGTACCTGTTAATGTCACACATATTAACTAATTAAAACAAACTGAAATAAAACTTCCACAATCTGATAAATACTGAAAATACGAGATAAAAGAGTCCTAGAGAGGTGTGTGTGTAGTTTGGTTTGGTTTGGTTAACATTCAAATTACTTTGTGGTTATAAGTTATAACCCTATTAGTCTATATATGGTACAATTAGTGTAAAATTTAGTTACTAACCTTTCCAAATTCTTCTTGGAGATTGTTCATAAGACGTTGCTGAGCTTTGGTTTTACCCATCATTGCTGGCATTTCCTTCTTAAGGTGGCCTATTATGTATGCATTGATCTTTGCAGCTCTAGCTCGCTTCACAAACTCATTAATCTGCAAACAACCACACACACAAAACAATGAGCACGTTTCTTTTTCAACCTTCCCAAATTCTGAATATAGAGAGATGTTTTGCTAAATTGTGACTGATCAGAATCATTACCTTTCTGTCACATGCTTTCTTGGGTATGTCCATCAAGTCAGCTAAAATATCATTTTGCTCTTTCTCAAACAGCTCTTTGCCAATCGGTCCAACTACAGCTTCGTTTATGGGTTTGTCATTGAAAGACCTTCACAAGATAAAGCAATAACAAACCAATTTAGTGTGTATCCAAATAAAATCATTTTAAGAAGTTGTATTCAAAAAGCATACCCGATATAAACTCGTACAACCTCTGGTGTGTTGAGGACTTTACCAAGCGACCACATCAAAGCTCCATACACTCTCATTAGCTATCAAACAAAAATTCCGAATCAGATCAACAAAGTGTAAAAGTTAAAGCTTACGAATGAGGATTGAGGAAGGAAACGGATATTTTACTTGTTGAGTATCGAGTTGGTCAGCTTTGTTTAAGACAACACGAATCTTGTCTTCGTTACCACGCAGAGATGATATAACCCGCTTGAACTCATCGCTGATGTCAAGCTTGTGGGGATCAAAAAGAAGAAGAATCATATCAGATTTGGATGCAAACCATGAGATGACACCAGTGAAGTCGTAGCTTCTTTGCATCCTTTGCTTCTCTCCTGAAAGAACACCAGGAGTGTCTACAAGAGTAATCTGGTCCAAGACCTACACACGCAGGAAGAAAAACTTCATATAAACCAACAGAAGAAACAACCAGAAAGAGAAAAAGAGAGAGAGGATAGAGGTGCATAAGACTCACCGGATGTGGCATCTGAGAGCATTCGAACTTTGATAGGAAAGCACCTCCAAAACTTGTTAGCCCGTTAAATGGCATATCAGCTTGAACAGCCATTGTATTTCCAGGTATGGTCCGCTCATCTGGTCCACTCTATAAGAAAATTGAAATCATATTGAGTTACATTCAACGATTTTGCAACAAATAACTAGCAATCATTCAGCTATAATTGAAGCAAGACACATCGACATACCATTGCAACCACGAACCTATCTGTTGTTGGCTCTGGACCAATGTGAGCTCCTGATAACAAGAATACAAAGGTGAAATCAGATACATAAAATGAAGATTGTTTGTGCTGCTACGAGTTATGGAAAACGGAGCAAGTTACCTGGATATTCACATCCGAGCAAGTGTTTTATAAATGTTGTTTTTCCGGTCGAATATTGACCCAAAAGCATCACCATGGGTTTGGCATCAAAATCGCTATTAGTCTGCAAAATATATCAAAATAACAAACACTGAGTTTCATTTCCCTTGGTGTTATATATAAAATTTCTGTTGCTGTAAAGGAAGTTCACTCACCAGTACTGGTGATGCAAAATCATTGAAACGATATGTGAGCTCCAAAGGCTTTAGCTTTTCAGCGTACAATCTTTTCAAGCCATCAACGATTGTCACCACATTTACCTGTGGCTGGATATCAAAAAAGGGCATCCTATTTGGAAGATAAACATCTGCAGCAATGAAGCAAATAGTAATCCTACCTTTACACTAGATTTTGATTTGAACCAGGGATAGGGAGCTTTTGCCATGACGTGTAGCTGGCTAACTACTGCAAGTTTTGACATCAAAATCAATAACTTTTACACAATCATGAATGAAAAAGAAAAACTCCGAAAGTAACCATTATCTTCAATATCCGCATATGCTTTCGACGATTTCTGCTTCTGGAAGCAAATTGAAAGATACAGATTAGTTTACAAAAAAGCACTTCATGTACAGATTTGCAAACAAAATGAGATGAAGAAAGAGCCTTACAGATACCACATTCTCCAATCCTTCCAACACTGGGAGTTCCACACTCTGCATGTCAACTATAATAATAAAAAAATGGATATACAATAATTAGCCAATTGCTGTATCTTTAAGAACAGATTATGCTGCTCTTTATGATTCATCCTATGTTGCTAATTTACCTGAGCCTTTCAGAAGATCTGAAGTAACTTCATGTCCCGCTTGTGCCAATGAGACGAGCTAATCAAAATTATAATCAATCGAGTAAGACTCATTTAACAGAATATTTCAATATTGGCTGATTAAGATATGTATTCGACGCAATCATATTCATACCTTCATCGCAGTGATGAATTCCGCCAAACCGAGATATCCCTGCCGCTTCGAATCCGCAACTGCCCAGACCTTTAAACAAATTTCAACTAATCCCAATCAGCTCTAGATTTTTTACTTTCAAGTTAGGGATCATGAGATTAAAACTGGATTCATGAAATCAGCAAATCAATCTTAAAACCAAATACCACTACATAGATCCTATCGATTCGTATCAATATAAACCTGTTTGAGTTCCTGGCGAGAAAGCTTCGACATCGCGAAGAACTTTGTCGCATCGTTCCCAGAAACACGACCGTCTCCATCTGAATTTTCAGAGAAGCGAAAACCAAAATCGGAACGGAATCACTACGCGAGATTAGTAAATCCAACTGAAAAAAGGGGGAAAATAAGCACTGAAACCTGAATCGGCGATGTTGAACCATTCCTTGTACATCTTCTGATGCTCTTTCAAACAAGTACCGATCGAGGTCGCCGAAGACGTCTGCATTGCTGCGAGTTTCCGAATGAGAGATGCTTATCGAAGAGAGAGAAAGATAGAGAGGTTTCTGAAATTTGAAATGGAGACTTGAGAGAATTGTTGAGAGAGAGAGAGAGAGAGCGTAGAGAAACGGATAGATATTTCCAAGAAGGGGATTTTAACTGGTTTAGCGCATTAATACTTGTTACAAACCTTCTCTCTTCTCTCACTCCTACGGCGATTTCCGATGTTTAGATCGGATTTAGTTATAAGGCTTTTTGCCCTTTTTTGTTTGTTTATACTTTCCGCTTCGACCGACTTCTCTTCCGATCTGATCGGATTTAATTATTCCACCATAGATTTTGTCTATGGATGGATTTGCTTTCTTTTTCTTTTGTTTTTCTGTGTTACCGACTGAGATCGGTCCACTCAGTTTGATCTTCCCCTATCGCTTGTTCTGAAAAGTTTAAATTCCGATTATATTTTGATCTCTGTTTTCACCCAATACTTGATTCATCACTTAATTGAGCATAAATCCTTACTTTTTTTTTTGCCATCGAAACAACTCCATGCATTACTATAATAGGCCATCAGGAGCACTTAAAACAACCGACCCGTCTGGTAACAAAGGGTTTATATGGGAAAAGAGAACACCTCGTGCACGAGCCTCTTTAGAGAGGTTGTCTGCACGGCAACGTGGAATGAAAACAAGTGAAAAAGCCGTAAACATAGATCGAATAAGATGAAAATCATCTAATTCTGAGACCAGCAAGGGCCATACTTCTCCATCTTCTATGAGCTTGACAAGCGTTAGGCAGTCGGATTCAAAATGGATAGAGATGAATCCAAACTGGTGAATAAAAAATCAATAGCAATGTTTATGCTCTAAAGTGGTTTCATCTCTCCCAAATCATTTTTTATAGATAAATGAACATGCCATCAAATGCCAGAAAAAAAAACTTACAACCCAAATTGGTTTATAGCTTAAGGTGTTGATCCAACAATAAAGTAATCTTCGCAAATACTTCATCTGTTTACTTATTTTAGGTAACCATATGAAGTTTATGTGAAAATACTTTGTTGCCGGGTAATTTGAATGACAGGATGAGAGAGATTTATACAACTTTGAGTGGCAAATGCAAGATTTAGTTCTAACTTAATTGCAATTATTTTTATTTTTTTATCAAATTCTTATTCTATTCCAAATGATAATCATCAAAGACCAAAAGTTTATTTTTGAGCCCGTTTTAATTCACATGGTGAAATTTCTGTTCTTAGAAAACATTCCACTGATGAATCTCTTCTTCGATCTACTGAAATTTATGTTTAGTCTCTCTACCAAATAATTTCACACAATGGAACTATCTAAAACTAAATCTTCAATATATCAATTAAGATTACCCTTTCAGCGAACCTTATAGTTCGAAGGAATTACAAAGAATGCCATTCATGTGTATGACAACTAGCTTGATGTTTTGTAGAGTAATAAAGCACATGCATGTTCAAGAACAGAGAAGGAATTCAACTTTTTGAGCAATAGCGTCTTATATGACTCTCGGTTTCAGGATATCTGAGTTATATACATCGATAGCTCGTTGAACGAGATTGTAAGATTTTGCAACTATCTAATGTAATTTTTCTTCTCAGTTTAGAAATGAATGATCAAACATATACATACACATACACATACATACATTATGTCCACAGACGATCTACAAAGAAAAAAAGATGTTACAATCGCCATTGTGGAAAATCAATTCTGCCGAGACACATTGATTACATTTTCATGTTATGTTCACTGCCAAAAACAAAAACATGAACACAATGTTAAGGTTATGTCAAAACAAATGAAAATGATGAAACTTAACAAGAATATAGATGTTGAGAGTACCGATTCTTTTGAGCAGCCATAGAAGAAGAGCAAGCTCGAAGCTAAAGATCATACGCAGCCATGTTTTGTCCACCAAGAATCCGTAAACAGTGATCCCGGTTTTGTTGTTTTCTAAATAGGTCACTACACATATACAAGAAGAAATCAAAACACTTAAAAAGTGAAAAAAAAAAAGATTTAACCATCGTCTCTAAATCATCAAGATTTCTTTACCTAGAGCTTGACGTTTCTCGAAAGAAATGGCGCGAGCATGGATCGGATGTATCGAGGTATTGTCAAGATCACTGACTCCTTCCCATTCTTCATCATCATCGGATGATTGAATCACGTTACGACGACGAGATAAAATCTGGACATGTTGACTGGATGTTGAACATTTAGGAGTTTCTCCATCATCAAGATCATCAAACGTGTCCATAGTGGCGCAAACGTTCCACTTTGTAGCTATGCTCGCTAAAGATTGAGCTTTGTGAGTCATCTGTGTTGCACTTCTCAAGCATATAAATAGCCCTGACACCAAACTCATGGAGCATAACTGTAAAAATAAAACAGACACATTGATCAAACATAATATTTCAAAAATCTCATATTTTTCTTTGGTTTCAAAACAAATTCAGCAAATTTAAAGCTTGTAAATGACAAGAACAAAGACTGTAAAAAAATAGAGACATTGATCAAGTTAATGTTTCAAAGATTTCACCTTTTTCTTTAGTTTCAAAACAAAGTGAGCAAATTTAAGCATGTAAATGACAAGAACACAAGAGCGTAAAAACAGAGACACTGATCTAGATAATGTTTCATAGATTTCACCTTTTTCTTTAATTTAAATAAAAGTCATCACATTTAAGCATGTAAAATGACAAGAAAAAGACGGTAAAAACAAAGACACTGATCAAGATAACATTTGGAGGCTGATGCATAACTGTAAAAACATCAAGATAAAATTTCAAAGATTTCACATTTTTCTTTAGTTTCAAAACAAAGTCAGCAAATTTAAGCATGTAAATGGCAAGAACAAGACTAAACAAATTAGAAATTCCTTACCGCGAGCTCACCAGCTTGATAGATATTGAAAGGAACACTAGCTCTAATGGTAGTAAGCAAGGCCATGAACTGAGTAGCAGTAACGAAAGTCAACGACAACAGAATAAACCGTCTGAAACGGTGACTGACGATCTTAAGCTCACGCCGGATCTTGAGATGCTCGGCGAGCGTGGAGCTGAAATCAGTTATCTCAGAGGCGAAGCAGCGTGCGAATTCATCGAGACGAAGGATCTGTAAGTGACAGACGATTTGGTAGAAGATACAAGCAGTGATGAAGAGCGATATACGGTAGAGCCAAGATGAGAGCTGGAGCGTGCAGGCTATGACATGGCTCAACGTTTGGTTGATGACGTAAGGGATTTGGCTCGAGCCTGAAGTGTACCACCAAATGCGATAGATTGCTTGAAGCGTTAACGATGGAAGAACGAAGAGACCTAGTAGCTTCATTGATCTCTGCAACAACAAAACAGAGCATACACATCAAAGAATGTATAACCTATAGTTTTAAACAGAGGATATCATAAATTTTTGTCATATATAATATGATCCATTCTGTTCCAAATGAAAAAAAAAAATCAAAATTCCAGAGAAAAGTTGTAAAATTTCACTTTTTTAATTTTTTTGCAGCATTATAATTAGTTTTATAAATAAAATTTCTTAGATTTATTAGTATAAATAGAGTTTATATGCATTTTGTTACCTGGATTTCGGATTCGTATTCGAGTCGAATATTTTCGCTGACGTCTTTGAGCTTATCGAGGAAGAGGAATTTGCGGATACCGTATCGCTTAGACCAATCGGAGAGACTGACGAAGGAGATTCCGGCGAAGATCGATAGAGATGATTGAACCAAAGCGTCATACGGACGGCGGTGTTTGAAATCGCAATCGGAGCAGATTAGCACGAAGTGTGAGATCATTGGGACGATGACCGCGAGGAGGAAGAAGACGGACCACGAGAGGATGGTTTTAACTCGATTCGACTGGTCGAACCAGAGAAGGAGTTTCGGGAACGAGAATTTCGTCGCTGGCGACTGCGACTCCGACTCCGACTCCGGCGGTTTGTGGATCGGGTCGGGTCGTTTGGGTGATGACTCTTCCATCGGGTTGAGGGTAATTTTGGAATATTTAGACCGAGCACATTAATGATGTAAATAATACAATCTGAGTGGCTATGTGTATGTCCTTGCTTGCAAAAGAATGTGTATAGATCGGATTTAAACTCAGATCGGTCTGATCACATATAGTTTTGTTTTGCTTATGATATTAGGATTTATGTCATGTCTCTGTCACATTTGACTCTCTTTCCCTTCGCCATGTGTCCTTCATTTATATGTGAAATAGACAAATTGTTAGCCGACAACATAGTGGAGCCACATAGAGTCAGAAACGATTTATATAATGATAGATTTATGGAAGTTAAGGAATCTATTAATCTAACTCATTTTGTTGACTTTTGATTGTAGCTTTTAAATAAAATCCCAGCACATGGAATTATTTATAAATTTAGGAAAAACTCTGATGAGTTTTGAACTTTCAAGAATGTTTTTTCTTTTTTAACAAAATTTTTCTTTTTGAAGAGGGAATGTCCACTATGTTGCTTTTTTATTTTTATTACCGGAATTTGTGTGTCAAATATCTGTCACATGAGCAAACCAAGAGTTGTAGAAGTTTCTTCCTTTTTTTGCATAATAACCAAGCAACCAACCAAGAGTAAATTAAGACTGAAAGAAAAAAAAAGAAAAACAAGAAGCAAGTAAAGAGTCTCTAATAAGGAAAATATCTCTTGTCAGGTTGAGGAACGAGGATCAGAAACAGACACCGCGGAAGACGGTGGAGGTGGCGGGCAGGGCCGGCCCTGGTGGCGGGGGAGGGATTCGATACAGCCACCGCGGAAGAGCAAACATAGAGAGATATGATTCCGAGAGGAAACTCATTGTGTTCATCTCTCCACTGCATCCAACATAACTCAAAATCTGACCAATTCCACTGCATTCCTCCACCTAACAGTTAACCATAGATTTCCCATTGCGTAAGTTAATAGATCCTAAAGACATATACATCGGGCTCCACTTATACATTGTATTACCATCAAAAGGGTTCATCATCACCGGAAAATCGATAAAATAAAAAAACTGGAGAAGATTTAGGTACTAGTTGCCACTCACGATTCTTTAGCCTCCATACACTTAACTTGTGATCCACGTCTCCTCCATCATCTTTTTCTCCAGAGATTATGTTCATATACATGTGATCTCCTTGAGAAGTTGTGCAAGATCTTTCGAAATGTGGTTCTTTATCTGAGTCAGGGAGAGGTATAACTTGGTGTTGATGATCAGAAGCGTAGAAATCGACGGACACAACTACTTCTTGATCCTCAAGATTTTGACCAAGCCAGTGAAGATTTCCGTTCAAGCAAATTGGTTCTGAAGAATTCAGTGAGTTTAAAGGTAAAGGACATTGGATAGTGTTGGTACCCCCACAAGCCTGTCTCTGATGAATAAATGATGAAAGCAAGGATATAATCGTTCATGTTGAAGTCTTTTTGAATCAGAACAACTTTGTAACCCAAAACGACACCGTTGTCGGTCTGTGTGACGAGTCTTACCAGTTTGACCCACACGTTTTGCACGAAAGGCCCATTATTAAAAAAACTGTAGGCCCATATATCGAGCCGACTACTTCTCTTCAACGGTAGTCTCATATTCAAAATTTGGTCTCTCTCTCGTTTTCTTTCATTTTCGTTGATCTCTGAAGAGAGAATCAGAAACAGAGACTCTAATTTCTCTCCCGATTTCGTTATTCTTTCACAAGAAATCGCTTAATTTCTCGTCCGAATCCAAAAGCCAATTCACCGGAAATTCCTAATTTCGAACCTTGTCGGTAACGCAAACGAGAATCGAAGATACTTCCGTGGACGTGTGTGACGATCCTTCGCTGGGATTTCAATTAGTGTGATCCGTACACTGATTTCGCGAAGGTATGATCCTATCTATTCTGTTTTTACAAACTCGAATTGCTTGTTCAAATCCCTAGGGTTTGGGTTTGGGGTTTCTTCGTTCAATTTCGGTTTCTGGATCCTGACTACTAGTTTAAATCCCTAGGGTTTGGGTCTTTTGTTGTTCGTCGGATTTCTTTTGCTCCGCTTTGAGAAATAAGTTGTACAGGTTAAAGAATCGGAAGTGATTTTGAGTATTTTTGATTTGCGATTACATGAAATCGAGGATGGATCTATACGTTTCTTCGATATCTATGATACTCTCAATTGTTAAATTGTTCTTTAGATGATATCGAGTCTCATTAGAACAGAGATTGGTATGGGTGTTTCATTTCTCGGGCTCGAATTTGAAATTGGAGAAGGAGTTTGAAATTTTGTAGTTTTGAAGATTGGATTCTCAAATTTGTTGGTTAATTGTACAAAGTGCTCAGTAGTGAGGATAATTTATATGGCTTGTTTTGAATTATATGGTTTTGCAGTGAGCAGAGAAGAACAATGAAGGAAGCGCCAAGAGCTATACCTCTCCTCTCAGGAATTTTGCAGCCTTCACAAGCAGATCAGCTGCTGATAATCCTTTGCATGACTTGAAGATTGGTACGCTAATTCCTGTGATAGATTGTTATTGATTCATATAGACATGTATCCTTGTTCGTTTGCCATTAGAGTTTTGCTTGGATGGCTAAATGTTCATTCTTTTAAGAGAGTGTTTGTTTGTTCAAATTTGTAGCTCCTGCTGTTTTCAACTGTGTAAGCTTTTTGCTCCTATTGAGTTGCACAAATTTATTTAGCAAAGGTGGCAAGGTGAAGTAGGAGCTAGACAAGAACAGTTGCCTTATTAAGGTACAGTGTCTTCTGATCCCTTATATTCTGCGGTTGTATGAATCATATATGCACAAGTTTTCCTTGCTAAGATTTGAAAAGAAGAAGAAAATCTCATCACTGGATCTGGTTGTGCTGTGTAGGTTGATCGTGTTCTCTGTTCATTCCTCGAACCATCTGTGAGGACAGTGATCCAATACATGTCCTGGTTCTGAATTCTGATGCGGTTCGATTCTCTCGTCTCTACTTAG